ACTCACAGATGTTTCTGTTGAAGTCAGCTGATGAGTTTCCTCCATAGCCATGTTTAACCAGAGTCCTCAGCTCACCTCTAGGGCACAGCTCACTGAGTCCCTGCACCTTGGGTGAGGGAGGAAGGGAAGGAGGGAGGGAGGGAGGGGGAGGGAGAGTGTAGAGAGAGGGAACAATGAAGGGATTGAGGGAATGAGGGACAGTTTGGGAGAGACAGGGAAAGGAGGATCTCTCCTAACACGAACAAATCTCCTAACACATATCTAAGTGTTCTGAGAATTGATGACCTTTATCTAAAGAAAAGACATTATTTCAAGTAACAGTGTCAAAGTAGTGGATTTACTCATTATTTTATGGTTTCTCTTCACATATCATTCTTTAAAAGCCAGAAAGGCACTTCTGGTATCTCCAGATGCTAGATGTAGAGATTGAAAAGGGAATTTTTTTTTCTTGTGTAGGAATTTTTTAAATTGTAGTCAGGGAGGTGGGGAAGATATGAAGAAATAGTTTGAGTGTTGACTCTGCAGCAAAGTTTCATGTAGAGTATCTACTTCATTTTAAGGTTCATAGGTTCCCAATCTGGAACTATCAGCATTTTACACAAAAAAGAGAAAGCAAAAGTATTTCAAAATAACTCTGATATCATCCAACATGTGACAGAATGTGAACCTGGACTGAAGCCCTGGGTAGAGAGAAGGCAACAACCTTCCTCCTCTTTGATGTTCTACCTGGTAAATCATTGCTGCCCCTGCCCAGAGCTTCCCATAGATCGCCAAGGGATGCTGATGAGCACAGTGATCCACTCAGATCTCAAGGTGCTGCAGTGCAGTTTGGGGAAGTGTGAGTTTCTGGACCCATGGTGCTCCAAACAAACATGGTATTTTAACTCTCAATGTATTTCATGATTCACAAAAGTTGGGAAACATACTGCAGCCTGGATTTCTGTCATCCTACACACATGGCATTCCAGTCACATAAAGCTCCATTATATGCTAAATATAACACACAAATATGTGATATCCTTTTATGCCTATGTGGATTTACTTAAGCTTACACCCCTAGCAGAATGCCTTCTTTCTTCCTTTTTCTCTACCTGGTAAATCTCTATGTACTTCAAGAGCAATTAAAAGTTGACATAAAAGAAGCTTGGTGTTCTTTTTTTCTTCATATGCACTTGGTTTGGTATTTCTGATATGGTACTCATCATTTTGCAAGGTAATTTATAAATTCACACAACTGTTTCATTCGCTTAAGCCATACAGAATATTCTCGGTAAAGATACATTAAATGCATTAATGTGTGGGACGTTGTAATACAGAAATGCATTTTAATCATTTGGCATTCCTAGCAGCTGACTGAGTGGTAAAAATATCTATCCTTCCTGGGTCAAATCTAGCCCCTGGCTATTTATAGTCCAAAAGTTCAGAATGGTCTCCACATTATTTAAAGAGTTGCTAAAAATAACAATAGGAGGGGTATTCAAAAATTCCTAGAAAATGTGTTATAACAATACATTCATGGATTTAAAAATTTTTACTCCAATAAACTTGTTTTTTAATTCCATTTTTCCATGAATTTTAGAAACACCCTCACACACCATGTTTTTCTCCCAGATTCTTGCAGTTCAGTTATTCACACATCATATATGCATTGTTTTTCTACTGAGTGGCAGGCAACTGTAATGCAATGTTTCTATGTATGAAATGGTCAAAAACATGAGAGCTACCCAGACACTAAAGCAGGACTGTTTGTTGCCCAAGCCCAAACAAAATAACTTTTCTCAGAATTGCATGAGATGATACAGCACTCCAGAACTTAATTTTAATTGAACACATGTTTTTATGACCAAGTAAAGTAAAATGATACATTGATCTGGTCACCTTCATAAAATTTTTCATTTTCTTCAGATATGTTTCAAAAGTCAATAGAAAAATCCATTTCTCTTAGGTCTCATGCAAAGCCAACCTGTTTTACAACACAGAAAATATGTGAAAAAAAGGAAAGGGGTAGTCAGTGATGTACTGGTAAGTGTTTAACAATGAATTCATTGGAGAAAAGGGCCTGACTTGTATCATTTGTTCATTTCCATGGTATAGATGTCCCCAGCATGGCTCTCTCCATATCTCCATGGAGACTGCATTACACAAAATGTTGGAAAGAATTGTGTACTATTGACTCTAGTGACCCCATACAAGCTGGCACCAGTGTCCCCACCCAGAGTACCAAATAACAGAGCTTCATATGTCCCATTTGAAGAAATACCCATCCTGCACTGCATAGTAGACCTGACAATGAAGCTATAGCCCTCCCCCTCCAACCCCCTGATCTCTACACTCCTTTATCTCCTTTATTCAGAGAAGGAGTAATCCTAGGAACCAAGTTTGATCAAATACGTTTTCTCTCTTAAGATTCTTGAGTAGGGGCTGGCGCCATGGCTCACTAGGCTAATCCTCTGTCTGCGGCACCAGCACCCTGGGTTCTAGTTGCTCCTCTTCCAGTCCAGCTCTCTGCTGTGGCCCAGGAAGGGAGTGGAGGATGGCCCAAGTGCTTGGATCCCTGCACTTGCTTGGGAGACTGGGAGGAAACACCTGGCTCCTGGCTTTGGATCAGCACAGCACCGACTGTAACGGCCATTAGGGGAGTGAACCAACAGAAGGAAGACCTTTCTCTCTGTCTTTGTCTATAACTCTGTCAAAAAAAATTTTTTTTTGAGTAGAGATAAACCAAGAACAAATGTTTCGGGGAAGGCTGGCGCCGCGGCTCACTAGGTTAATCCTCCACCTAGCGGCGCTGGTACACCGGGTTCTAGTCCCGGTTGGGGCGCCGGATTCTGTCCCGGTTGCCCCTCTTCCAGGCCAGCTCTCTGCTGTGGCCAGGGAGTGCAGTGGAGGATGGCCCAGGTGCTTGGGCCCTGCACCCCATGGGAGACCAGGAAAAGCACCTGGCTCCTGGCTCCTGCCATCGGATCAACGCAGTGCGCCGGCCACAGCGCGCCGGCCGCGGCGGCCATTGGAGGGTGAACCAACAGCAAAAGGAAGACCTTTCTCTCTGTCTCTCTCTCTCACTGTCCACTCTGCCTGTCAAAAAATAAAAAAAATAAATAAAATAAAAAATGTTTCGGGGAAAAAAATCTCTAGCAGTTTGTGCTATCAAGACCTAACCTCTACCCTATTCCCAGGATCTAGTCCCTGTATTTTATGAAACTGGAGATTTTCTCATGATTATATGAACTTTCTTCAGCCTTTAATAGTTTTTTCCTTGATGTGCCCAGAATCAGTCTGACTAGGGGAATCAAGCAACAGCTTCAGTATTTGTTAAGTTTGTGATACTGTATATTTAAATAAGTGCTGTGCAATGCTCTTCTCCCAAACTCATTTTGGATCTTATGTAGAGGGGAGGAGAGAGACTGCAATAGAATGAGTCAAATGTAATTTATTTACAAAGGCACAAGGTGACACAACTTCTTTCCCACCTTTTCTCATTATGCCAACTAATTATCTCTAATATTAATAGAGAATGGTTTGGATGGTGGAGGAGCACTCCATTTGGGTAAAGTTAAGCTGATGTAACAAAGGGACTTTGAGCAATATAGAGGCTTAAAAGAAAAAATGACTTCATCTCTATGTGGGCAATCTCAATTAGTCAGTCAGTTACACTGGATCATTCAAGACAAATAGGTTCCTACCATCTTGCTGTCCCATTGGCTGTTACTGTTTTCAAAAATGAGCATAGGCATGGACCATGAATGTGAAATATATTCTAAAAGATTAAAAGAGAAATATCCCAATGTTCTGTATGTTTTCTGTAATAAGTTTACATTGGTCTTCAGTTCTAAAGATGAGTGGGGTAACATACTAGAATATCTTAAACATTTATACAATCTGATATCAGAAGGAATATATTACTAATAATCATCAAAGTATTGAAAGGTGAAACATTTATTTTGTGAAAGGATTTCAATTCAAGAGCGAATTCAAGATTACTTCAACAATATTTCCTAAACTTCCTATCATTCAGGTAGTACTATCAGAATTTTTCTCCCTATCTGTATTATTATTGTAATATATCTATATTATTATATACTATGTGACATTATGTTTACTATTTGCTATTATTTTCCTAAATCTTTTTCTTTAAATGGATTCATTTCTTTCCTTAAATGAATTTATTTAAGGAAATATTATTTCACTTCTATAAATGGAACGCTAATAGAAAATAAACATAAACAAAATTACCGGAGAATGTTAAGTTCCAACCAATACTATTACTGAGAATGCTGAGTCAGTGCTGGTTTCTGCTCTATTCAAAATGAAATAGTGAAGGTTGAAATGTTTTAAGTAATCATTTGCAGCAAACTGAATCCTTCTGTTATAATCTGAGCAATTGGAGAATTTAAATAGAATTATCTGTGTGCATCAATGGGATTTAATTCCTGTCTATAAACTGACTCACCACCCTTTGTGGAACTATGCCCTATGGAAAATGCCACTGCTAGCCATTTGTAAGTGGTTATGTTTTTGTGGGGAGAGCGAAAGGGACAAGGTTGCAATTAGCACACTGAGAAATCCCAATAACCCTGCAAATGCCATGAGATTTGAACCTCATCATTCATGTGTGACTAGGTGGTAGACAGGCAAAGAAATTCTGTTCTAAATCACTATTGTCTCAGAGTCATGAGATGGAAAAAAAGTCACAAAATGTTGTTCATCCACACATGTGGGCATCAAGTCTGAAGCATCTTTCTCCCTGGTGCTGTTTACTCACATGGAGTTGACTTCCTGGCTTGAAAGAGTTGTTTTCTGGCACCAAATCCCCTTGACATGCCTCTGAAATGTTTGTGTGAGAAATGCTTCAAATGTTTTAATCAACCAAACACTCCTCCAATGAAAGGAAGATGATTTGACTATCTGGTCCAAACATAACCTATAATTATGCTGAGAATCTGACTGCCTCTGATATTCCTAAAGTTACATTTCACTCATGAAAAACATTTTTCTTTCAGAAGCAGACTGTCATGAAGCATGAAAATACTTGCACAAGCCCAGTCAGTCCCTTCAAGTCCCATCAGCTATTGCTAAAGTCATCATGGCAACAGAGTAAAAAGGCAACAACTCTATAACTCTATAACCAAGGACCCCAAATGCATAGACTAGGTGGGAACTTTCTTGGTTCTCACAGTGAAGTGCCAATTTAAATGTATTATACATTTGACAATGAGATGCATTTAGAACTGCCTAAGGAAATAGTACAGATGATGGAAATAAAGGAATGACAACCATTTCTTGTGTACCTACTCTGTTCTAGTTATTGATCTATTTGCATCATAAAATCTACCCCAAGTATCACTCTCTACTGTGAGGACATGTAGAAGAAGAAAGAAAGATGATGTCCCCTTCAATGTTTAGTTCTGAGTGAGGAGCCAAGTAGACACTCAGAATCACCACACCCTGCAGTTTTCAGGGACAATCCCAATTTCCAACATCTATCATCCCAATGCCCCTTATTCTGAACTTGGAAGTGAGGCAAGTACCATTACAGAGGTCATATGGAAACCATAAAACCTTCCCCTGCTTCTGAGATTCTGATGTTCCCAAGTGTACTCTTTTCCACCACTGAGAATGATTGGCTTGGTAACTGATATTATGAAAGGTAGTATGAACTATTCCTCAGGTGAGTTCTGAGGTAAGATAAGAACCATTTAAATACTTGAATCTCTAAACTGTCCCAGAAGGTCTAATATTTAAGAGCTCCAACTACATGTTGAAGATTGTTCCTCACATTTAGAAATAGGTAAGCCCTCATCTGGCCATTTGTTTGATTCTTCTTTCTGCCTTTCCCTGAGTAGAGTCCACGCTTCCAAGTTTTATGTGTCTCTTCAGTCCATCTAAAATAATTTTGTGTGCCAGTGATATATACTAGAGGTTATCACAACATGTCTTCTACCTTAGAATTCTGTGATCCCTTTATATAATCAGGATACAAGCCATCATTAATATCTGTCAGGTAACAGAACCAAATATTTCAAAACTTAAAGGAATCCTTTTCCAGTAGTACTTAAATGAAAAGAAATGACCTTATCTGGGAAATTATTTTCAGCTGCAATTTTTAACAAATATAAGCCAGCCTCAAAAACCAGAGTAGTTGTATTAAGATTCTTAATTTACACTTAGAAAAATACAAAATATATTTAAACCTGCTCATACATGGATACGTTTTTATTGTGTATCACTAAATTGCCTGATAACAGAAGGCTTAAAAAATGGTAGCAGTGGGGAAGAGTTGCAAGTGGGAAAATATTGCATGAGTCTATTCTTTAATTACAAACTATTTGCACTGTGTGTTGCATATTGATGTATTTCTTTTTTGTATGTGTATGTATATACAGGTTGATCCTGGATATTTGCAAATAATCGTGTGAATAGGAAGAATAAAGACAGTGTCATTATTCCTCCTGAAGCGAGCATTGTGATTTGATTTTTTTCAAAACCATGAAGATATAAAATCTTAGGTTTAGAGTGAAGGTTATGTAGTCCAATTACTCACTCCATTATTGAATCTTTCCTACCATGCACTTGACAAATAGGCACTCAACCCCCATCTGAGAGCCTTGACTCAAAAAAATTTCTGGAACAGCCTATGCATTTGTAGCAAATGACTAATGTTTGAACTATGAATTTTGAATCCCCCCCCCCTTTTTTTGGAAGAAAGCACCTTGGTTTTCCTTTGGGATATTGTTCTTCTTCATTGTATGCTGTCTTAATGGGATCATCAGTCGAGTTGTCCTCTTCACCATTAGCCAAGGGGCACTCACGTGATACAAGCTATGACAATTCAGATCTATCTCCCAGGGACTTAAATGCTCAGTGTAAGGGAGTATGAGAAAGAAATGGTTGGAACAAATTTATCCCAACGGCAGTAACTTGAACATCTTGATTTTCTAAAAAATAGATTCTCCAACTTTAATCTTAAAACTATAAGCATCTACCACTTCCATAAGTTCAATTTTTGCTTAAAACTAGGCAAAGTCCATTTACAGCGATTGCAAACAAACAAACAAAAAAACACCTTTTGGTAGCCTACTGGAATTGTACTTACCCATCTGAGGAAAAAAAAGAATGGCATGACCCCTCTTTAATATTATAGTCCTTCACATGTGTGAGATTATTGTGTTTCTCTTCAATCATTACTCATTTCCTCATACAATGTTTTAAGAGGCCAGCTCACCTCTCCATGGTTTCTGCTGTGTTTTATGCTTTCTGTTCCTACCTCATTCCCCTCTACTTCCTTCACTGTCAAGTATTACTAAGAATATCTGAAATACAGCATAGATATTTGTCCCGAACATTTTTATTCCAGAAATTTTGCAATGGTTTGTAAAGACTGTGTGGAAAGAATTGTTCAGATTTGTATACAGTAACAAATACGCCGATGCAGAAAGTGAAAGTTGGAAGTCCCCATGTCACAAAGTTGAACTTTTCTGTACATTTTCTCACTCTTGGTAAGATGTATCTGGAGTCTCCATCCAACTTTCACCTTCACTTCTGCTATATACACTGTGGTGTTTCTAAATCCACCATCCATGGGGACTCAGTAATTGGCGTTATTTTATTTATTTATTTATTTTTGACAGGCAGAGTGGACAGTGAGAGAGAGAGACAGAGAGAAAGGTCTTCCTTTTGCCGTTGGTTCACCCTCCAATGGCCGCTGCGGTCAGTGCACTGCGGCCGACACACTGCGCTGATCCGATGGCAGGAGCCAGGTACTTCTCCTGGTCTCCCATGGGGTGCAGGGCCCAAGCACTTGGGCCATCCTCCACTGCATTCCCGGGCCACAGCAGAGAGCTGGCCTGGAAGAGGGGCAACCAGGACAGAATCCAGCGCCCCGACTGGGACTAGAACCCGGTGTGCCGGCGCCGCAAGGCGGAGGATTAGCCTAGTGAGCTGCAGCGCCAGCCCTGGCATCATTTTCTAAGACCCAGGGAAAATGCTTCCAAAGCTAGCAAAATTCAGAATGTGGTTGGATACCTGAATTACTCTGCAAATATATAGACACATGTAGCTAAATAAGTGGAAAGAAAGAATAAAAGGGGGTACAATTGTTTTCTCCCTTTGCTTATAACTCTTTCTTAATTTTGATGCAAGGTAAAGAGTCACTTTTAGCTTCCCTGAAAGTCTCTCTGCCTTGTGACTCTACACATCCTTCCTGTGGAAGGATGAGTACCACCCTCACTTAAGAACACACTCAGTACTAGTCAACCTGCTAACTTAGCATGGCCTGATTCCAGAGGGATTTCAGCTCCTTGCAGCTTCTACTTGATCTACTCTAAACAGACTCCAGCTAGCTTGCTCCAATTAATTCCATAAATATGTACTAAGCACCCAAGTGTCAGGTTCTGTGGTATGAAATCTAATTGGACATGGACCTTGCCTTCCCAGACAAACAATCATGTAATGTGGCAATGAAAAGTAATGTATGTGTTGGTAAAATTGAGCTACCACAAGGTGCCAGTGATTAAATCTGCCTGGTAAACATGGGGTTGGAAAAAGTGTCCAAAGATGACCTTGAGCTGGCTTTAGAAAAAATGAACAGGAATACACCAGAGACAAGAGGGCATTCCAGGTACCTAAAAAGGAAGGAGAGAAAGTAGAATGATCACTTTCTTCTATCCTCTCTAATTGCAACCTATCATCTTTTTGACAGCCACAACACACAGCTGGCTCAAGAGAGGTAAACACACTATCTTTCTGGAATTGTTTTGCCATATCCTTCACGACCTTCATTGCTCATGCCAGTGAGTCATTATTCTTTATCATGGAAACAAAATCAAGCCCTCTTCCTCTTTATGTGTCCCTCCTTGATCTCTGCCCCTAGATTCTGGACAGGAGCACAGTGCTCAGCCTTGTCTCTGTATATAGAGAGAACCCATCTTCACTAACTTTTCCTCCTATCTCCCCCATCTCTTCTGCAATCATGCACTCGAAGCTTTGCAAGGGGCTAAAATCATCTTCTCACAAGTTTCACAGAGGGTTAGATACAGCTTCTACCCAGCTGCTGTCCAGTGTTCTCTGAAACCAATCAAAGGAAAAGAAACCAAAAATGTGTTTGCAAAAATCAAATTAAAGCTGAGCTCTGATGGAGTCAAGCTATCTACGCCCGTATGGGCTGCTTGCCAAGAATGTTTTTAATATAATAATCGCTCATCCATAGACCCATAATAATTGATATTTGCAATTCGATAATGCTTCTTAACAATTTTTATTTGTTTCCAATCTCCCTCTTTCCCTCCTCACCTCATCTGCCCAACAGTCCCCTGTGTCAGCACATTCATGGCTCTTAATGGCCCTCTCAGCAGCTACTGATCAAAGTCAAGTTTTAATTATGATTCTAATTTTGGAAATTTGCTTCCTTTTAATCTGGACTTTTAGAAGGGAGTCGAAAGTGTGCTTGCAACAGCTTACAGGAAACACAGCGAGCTCTTGGACTGTTTAATTGGATGAGAGCAACTAGTTTTGAGCTTTCTGCTTCCCGTCAGCACATACCCACCACGTGACTACACCTGCGGAATGTAAAGCACATTACTAACAGCTGTTATCTGACATGGTGGATGTGCAGCGTGAATAGGAGATGCAATTGTGTGACCACAGAGCTTTGCTTTGAACATTTTAGAATGGTTATCTTTTCTCCAATACTCTATGTTTTCCATTGTTTGGTGTGAGCCTACCTCAAGTCTTCTCTGTGCCCGTTCTATAACCTGTTTATCCCTAGATGAATATCCTACTTCAGCCTTTAGAAATCCTATCCATTATTATAAGACCATCTTGTGCAAAGTTTCCTGATCCTCCTGGATAAAAATGACTTTCCTCCAGAAATCCCAAAGCATTTATTTTCATCATTAATATCAAATATCAACACTCTTATTGAGGATTTCAAACGTTTTAACACCAAAATAAACTTACTTTTTCAGTTTACTATTCCACAATCTTTCTGAAGATAATAGCATTCACTGAGTACACATTAGATGGTTCTAAGAAAACATTATTTCTCTTTATCCTCCCAATAATCCTAGGTACTTATTATTCCCATTTAACTGATGAGGAAACTGAGTCTCAGACAAGTTAAAATGTTCTCAAAGTCAAGTAACTATTTAGTGGAAGGTTAAGCTTGGAATGTCAACTGTATTACAGCAAACCAAGATCTGTATTCTTCCTATGGGCACAAAAATATCAATTACAGCGGTAGCCTGAACAAGATAGGGTGGGAGACTGAACAGGAAAGAAAACATACCTCATATTTCCTTGACTCTCCTAATGCTCACAAATTTGTCATTAAAT